CATCAGACCATCTACTCATAGTCATCTCGGTAGATAAACCAACTGACTTTGCCTCCGCTAAACACCAGACCTATATCAATTTCTCCAAAGCTGATTGGAAAGGTTACGCGGAGTTTACTGAAAACACCTTCACTGCGCTTCCCACACCAACCGACGTCCATCTCGGTGAACGTAAGTTCCGCAGGGCTGTCACTGCTACTGCAGCTCGCTTCATACCGGCAGGATATATAACGGACCCACGTCCAAACATCCCTGCCGAAGCGGCTGTTCTAGCTGATGAGCGTGATAGCCTTCGTTAGACCGATTCCGGAGATCCCCGTATCAGGGATCTCAACGCAGATATTCGGCAACTAGTAAACGTACATAAGCGGAAGAAGTGGGAAGAGCATCTCAAGACCTGTAACTTCACCTCTGGTGTGAGTAAGCTTTGGTCAACCGTGTCCAATCCGACGAAGCACGACGACAGAGTCGAAATTTCTTTCGGCTACCATGCTCCTTCGGACCCGGAGCGAAGTGCGAGCTATTTTAGCCGGCAATTCATACTGCATCCTCCGGTGGACAAAGCCAAGCGTCGAGTGACCAGAAGGCTGCACAAACTGTCAACAACCTGTGCCCCCCTTGCTTTCACTTGCGGTGAAGTTCAGGTGGCCATCGAGAAGGCGGATGCTGAAAAATTTGGGTCCTGCGGGGATAGCGTACCTAACGGAGGTCCTCAATTTGTCTATGGCCACTCTCATCATCCCAGACATCTGGAAGGTGGGGAGAGAGGTCCCACTGCTCAACCCGGGGAAACCTGCCAACATAGGAGATTCTTATCGGCCGATGACACTCCTTTCCCCGGTAGCGAAGACACTCGAGGCCTTTCTGCTCTCGTATTTCACAAACCACTTGACTCCAGCGAAGCATCAGCATAGTTTCCGTAAAGTGCACAGTACAACAACAGCGCTTAACGCCATAAACACTCAGATAACTCGTGGCCTTAACCGCAAACGTCCCTGTGAGAGAACGATTCTAGTAGCGTTGGACCTGTCAAAGGCTTTTGACACTGTCAGCCATTTCACGCTACTAGAAGATATAGAGGCTTCCTCTCTCCCACAAAGGCTTAAACGGTGGTCGGCAAATTATCTGAGTGGTCGACACTCGTCGGTAATATTTAGAGACAAATCGAGCAAACTAAGGAAAATAAAACTGGGGGTTCCACAGGGTGGTGTCCTTTCCCCACTACTGTTTAACTTTTACATTTCAAAGCTCCCTCAACCACCAGAGGGAGTCTCGATTGTCTCTTACGCCGACGATTGCTCGATCATGTCGACTAGGAATGGAATTGATGACCTGTGTTCGAAAGTAAACGGATATCTCTCTGAACTTTCTCGCTACTTCACTGCAAAGTGTCTAGCCCTCTCCCCTACGAAATCCTCTGCGACCCTATTCGCAACCTGGACGAAGAAGGTCAGGCTACCGCTGGGAATTCACGTCGATGACACACCAATTCCGACGGTGAATAATCCCAATATACTCGGAGTAACATTCGACAGCCTGCTCTCCTTCTCTGCGCACGCAACCGCTATTGTCAATAAAGTACAGAGCCGCAACAAGGTCCTCAAGTCGCTAGCCGGCAGTACTTAGGACAAAGACAAAGGAGTGTTGCTGGCAACATACAAGGCAATAGGCCGGCCGGTTTTAAACTACGCAGCGAAGCTACAGACAGTACAAAACACAGCACTTAGGACAGCGACCGGATGCCTCCTGATGTCACCAGAACACCACCTCCACGATGAGGCGAAAATGCTCCCAATTAGGGAGCACAACACGATGCTCTGCAAGCAGTTTCTAGTTGGGAGCCACAGATGTGGCCACCCAAATAAACAGCAGCTTGCAGAGGAGCCCTCGCCGCGACACATCATGAGGCATCTATATGAACTGACGGATGAAGTCCAGAGGTTTATTAAGCAGCCTCTGGACCCGTCAGCTTACAGACAGACCCTGAACGGCATTCACAGGGACGCAGTCTCGAGTTATGTAGACTCTAGACCTGTTAATACCGTTCTAGGCACACAAACCCCGGACATTGACGCGACGGAGCTCCATCTGCCTCGGGAGACCAGAACAACAAAGCCCAACTTCGCTCTGGCTACTGCAGCAGACTGAACTCCTACCTGAGTAGGCTAAATGCGGATGTGCCGAACGAATGTCCGGCATGCGGAGAGGCCCCTCACGACTCGAAACATCTCTTCGCATGCCCGGAAAACCCCACAACCTTAACGGCGTCGTCCCTGTGGACCGACCCCATAGAGGCTGCACGCTTCTTGGGGCTGCCGTTAGTGGAACTCGACGACAACGAATGAGATATCAACCGATCTTAGCGGGGTTGTTGTAGCCGCTACAACAACAACACCAACATACACGGTCAATCGACTTGATGGGCCATTTAACAAATTAAGCATATTAAGGACCGGAAACGTCTCTATTTTGAACTATAGTTAAATCTTTAATAGATAAGTTAACAGCCCTAACACTTTTACAGTATGTATGTATGAAAACGTAAGGAACATACAATCCATATATGTCTTTCCTAGTTTGAAACTTCATCTCTTACATAAATGAAAAAAAAGAGATCAAATTAAGCATATACAACATTTGCATTCCAAGTATGAATAAATTCTCCAAAGGGCTAGGGGCAATTTTAAATTTATGTGGCCAAAAAAAGTATGTGGTAGCTAAATCTAGCCACAAAAGGGCTAAAACGGCAACACTGCTCCACACGCTATGTAGCTGCTCTTATTTAAATGTATGCTGACGCCAACGACATGTCTACGTACCCGGTTGTATGAACGATGCAGGTAACCACGACCAATTGCTGGGGAGCGATTTTTACTATGTGCACGCTTATTTCCGCTACTACTAAAAATTTCTAAAGCCGACAATTTTCTTGACGTTAACGCTGATGTGTGTACTGATTTCTGTTGATGTTGCTGATGAGTTTTTGCTGCTTTTGCTACCACTGACGAAATTTCCGTCACTGCCGTTTGTTTGTTGTTTCTGTTTTAATTGTCTGCTGCGACGCGTTTTAGTTGGAGCCGCTGCTGCGGCTGTTGCTGCTATTGTGGTTGTTGTTATAGTTGGCGCCGTACTCGCAATTGTGGTGCTATCATCAGCGCAGAGAGCGATTAACTATTAACGGATTCGGCCATAGACTACAATTGACCGTTCTTTCGATCACACTAAACACGTCCTCCCAACACTTGTGTCCTTTCGTGTTATAGCCAATTTAATTCTGTTACACTCTTTCTTAGTGGAACTATATTCACAACAGGGAAACTGGTTGCTGACCGAAAATGTCGTGAGCTTACGGCACTCTTAAAACTATTTTATTTTGTTTTGCTTCCACCTACAGCTATTGCCTCTCCTGGCAGGATCGCCAAATGTATGTAGTAGTGATAAAATATCAAGGATTTTAAGAAATTCAATTTAATATTTAATATTGTATAAAATTCGGTTGTTAACAGTTGCTAGAAAAATGTTTGAATAATAAAATTTTCTCTTTGATGTTTGAACTACAAAATCACTTAAATATAAAATTTCGAAAATTACAAAGTAGAAATTAACACATTACAATAAAATACAATAACACAAATACAAACCCTACATATATCTTCTTCAATTTCACAATTTCAACATGGGTTTTCTAATGGAAAATCTACTATCACTAATTTATTGGAGTTTACAATTCATGTCTCAAATGGTTTTAGAGAAAATGCTCATACCCACGATTTCAGTAAAGCTTTTGACAAAGTATATCACTCGTTACTCATCTGTAAACTCGACCTAATCGGCTTTCAGCCCAGTCTTCTTCAATGGATCTCTTCTTGCCTCTTTGATAGAACACAAAGAGTTATTTTTAAACATTTTTCTACCAACATCACTAAAGTTTCTTCAGGAGTTCCTCATGGAAGTTACCTTGGTCCGATTCTGTTCCTGATATTCATTAATGATATTTCTTCTATAATAAAATATGCAAAAATTCTAATGTATGCCGATTATGTGAAACTTTTTAAAACATTGTCCTCTATCGAAGAAAGGTCCTTGTTACAAGCGGATCTAAGCAACGTGGTTAGTTGGTATATTGCAAACTATATGCCACTAAACCTTAAAAATTTAAAGTTATGTGTTTCTCTAGAAGGGCAGTTCAACCAGCTATTTATTCAATTTCAAATAATAATCTGGAGCAGGTATCCAATTTTGTCGATCTTAGTATCACAATGGATTCCAAACTAAATTTCAATCTTCATATTAATGTTAAAGTCAATAAAGCCAAAAGCGTTTTTGCATTTGTAAAGCGATGGTCAACAGAGGTCGAAGATCCTTATGTTACAAAAGCTCTTTTTACCACTTTAGTTAGACCTATACTAGAATACGGATCTATTGTTTGGATTGAATCAATTCAAAAACAATTCTTGCTTTTTGCATTACGTGACTTTAAATGGGATTCAGACTGCAATCTTCCCCCTTACACTAGTCGTCTAAAGCTTTTAAATTTGCCTACATTCGCAAGTCGTAGACAAATGCTAGGTATAATACTTAAAATTAATGACAGGCTTGATTAATAGCCCGGCCCTCTCGAGTGTCAAGAGACTTTCGAGCTCTGTTTTGAAGCCATGCAAAACTAATTTTGAATTAAAAGAATCGTTCCGTTGTTTATGTCAAGATTTTAGCTCTCATTCCTGCACGTTTGATATATCGGACTCGATTTTTGCTATAATGAAAACTATCATTGCCACTCTCAATAATTGAAATACCATATCCAATCAGCTGATTAATTTGATTCTGTAGCTGAATCATATATGTAATACTTCCATATTGCTAGTACAATATGATCACAATGTGTATTCAATTCGAAATCAAAGAAAGACAGCCTATGAAAATTTTTGTGATTGTAGAAGTATACGTGTATATTTGTAAACTACTACATAGAATGAGGTGCCATATCATAACAGGGGCGGTTCAGAGAATTAAACAAGCAAATAAAAATTTTACGATCTCATGTTTCCTTCAAAGCGCAGTTAACTCAAACGAATTTTGTTCAAAATTAAATTTTGATGCATAAACGCTCTTAGACTGTCTTTGCACCTGTTCGGAGTTGACTTGACTACGTGAAGAACGCATGGACTGGCCATAATTCGAAATGTGTATTTACTGCTATCACCGCTAAAAGTCTAAATAAATTCTCGACATACACCCTAAAGTCCAAGCATACGCCACAAAAGAAAATCAAATGACCAATTTCTCATTTGCGGGGCGCTTTGGAATCGAAGCATTCAACTTTGCGCCTATTTTCTTATTCTGAATCGGCATTTCGACGAAAATTTCCTTTCATTTTCTAAATATTTACTCTCGGTCAGATTTTTGTTCATCTAGACTCTAGGTCCTAGAGTGTTTCTTCTTCAAGAAGTAAGTTTTGAAAAAAAATCCTAAATTGTTTGCGGTTAGGGCTCGATATGTCGACTTTTTTTGAAGCTCTTAGTTTTTTCGATATCGAAAAATTGGAAAATAGTGTTTTTCCTAACTAGTGGCGTTTTCTTTTCTACCGAAATATGCTGCCTTCTCAGTGCCCTCTACGCACAAATACTAATGAGAGGGCATTGAAAAGGCAACAGTTTTTCTAGAAAAGAAATCGCCATAAGACAAAACTTTTTTACACATGAAGCTGTGTGGCATATGATAGTTGACCGAATCCAATAAAGCACGCTATTCGTTTCTGTTCTGGGCTTATTGACGCCAACTGGAAATGCAAACTGATGCCAAGTCCTTTTGTAACTGTTACCATTATCCTCTGCCACCACAGCGGCTGCAGTGTTTCTCATATATATACAAATATTGTATTTTTTGTTGATTTTTCATGTGAATTATTTTTCAATTGAAAAGTAAAAATGTCAGTTTGAGTACATTATCGGATCTCTCTTTCGTTTTTGAATATATCGACACTCTGATGTTGGGGAATGTACTTTGAATTTACTAGCAATATAGAAGTATGTACTACATATATGAGCTGAATAGTTTTAGATATCGACAGTTAACAAACTCCTGTTTCCAGTACTCGGCACCAAAACATGCAAAACAAAAAAAAAAAAAAAAAAAAGTTCCGTACGTTATGCGGACTGCGCCCCTCGTATCGGTTGGGCGGGAAGGAGGGTAAAAACCGTTGGGATTAATTAATTAATGAATTAATCTATAGACTAGGGTCTAATCGGAATCGAAGAAGCGTTGTTTTTGTCTAATTTTGACTACTGAAAAATATTGGCGAAAGAAACACACTATGCGAAGTTTATTTTTTATCCAGCTTTTTAAATATAAAGCAACAGGAAAGGTCCGCCAATTTATCCGATTCCCTTAATAGGTGCTGCAAGACTAGAGAAAATAATGGGAATTGCCGTAAGTAACTTCGAAAGCATTTTAAATATATATATAGAAACCAAAATATATTTATAGAAAAAACAAAGACGAAACAGTCCTAAGTGTGACTGATACTCAAAGTGTAGACAAGGCCGTAAAAATTGTTCACTCTAATCTGTCAAATGTGTGTAACATAACTATAGAAGACGTAAACAAGCCGAAAATAAAAATAGTAGGCATACAGAATTATGATAAAATGAACAATGTGGAATTTCAAGAAGATATCAACAAACGAAATTATTCAAACTATGATAATAATAATAATAATAATATCCCAACGGTTTTTACCCTCCATTCCCGCCCATCCGCACGAGGGGCGCAGTCCGCATGACGTACGGAACCAATATTTTAAATTTTTGTGCCGAGTCACGATAGGCAGGAGTTTGTTAAGTGTCGAGATCTAAAACTGTTCAGCTACAGAACTAAATTCATCAGCTGATTTTATGTATTTATGTCAATAATTCACTTATTGAGAGAGGAGAGTATCGCTTTCTTAATGCTGAAAAGCGGATCTGATATATCAAACGTGCTGGAATGAGAGTTAAAATCCTGGCAACGGAGTGGGTCGTGCAATTCAAAATTGGTTTTACAAGCTTTCAGAAATATGGGACAAAAGTGTCTTGCTACGCGTGACGGAACATTAAAGCTTACACCAGCCAGAAGAGACGGACTTGAAATTGAGCCTGTCTGTAATTTAACCATAAAAATTATACCAAGCATTTCCCTGCGACTGGCAAGTGTAGGAAGGTTAATAAGTTTTAAGCGACTCGTATAAGGTGGAAGACTATATTGAGAATCCCATCGGAAATTTCTTAAAGCAAAAAGTAGGAATTGTTTTTGAATTGATTCTATCTTGTCTGAGTAAATTTGATACCTTGGATTCCAAACCACCGAGCCGTATTCCAGAATCGGCCTAACTAATGTTGTAAACAGGGTTTTAGTGATATACGGGTCACTAAATTCTTTTGACCATCGTTTTACAAATGCAAGTACACCTTTAGCCTTGTTGACTGTCACATTAATGTGAAGATTAAAATTAAGCTTAGGATCCATTGTGATACCAAGGTCCACAAAATTGTATACCTGTTCCAGGTTATGGTTACCTATTATATAAGAAACTGGCAGAACAGCTCTTCGCGAGAAGCACATTACTTTACATTTCTTAAGATTTAGAGGCATAAGATTTACTTTACACCAGTAAGCCATGCTGTTTAAGTCTGATTGTAGCAAAGACCTTTCTTCAATTGAAACGTACGATTTATAAAGTTTTACATCATCTGCATACATTAAAATTTTGGAGAATTTTATATCTGTAGAAATATCGTTTATAAAAAGCAAGAACAGAATCGGGCCTAGGTGGCTACCCTGAGGGACTCCTGAAGTAATATCAATGACGTCAGAGATAGTATTTTTAAACAATACCCTTTGTGATCTATCATAGAGGTATGAAGAGATCCAACGTATAAAATTAGGTGGAAGACCAAGAAGATCAAGTTTATAGATGAGCAACGAGTGGCACACTTTGTCAAATGCTTTACTGAAATCAGTATATATAACATCAACAGTTTTGCTCTCACTAAATGCTTTTGAGATATAGGATGTTAATTCAAGTAAATTTGTAGAAGTTGATTTGCCCTTGCAAAATCCATGTTGACTGTATGAAATGCTTGAAGTGATAGAATGCGTCAACCGATTTGTTATAATTGCTTCAAATAATTTAGGAATTGCAGAAAGCTTAGCTATGCCCCGGTAGTTCTCCACTGAAGACCTGCTACCGCTTTTATGTAAGGGGGTTATGAACGATTCCTTCCATACAGTTGGAAAAACGCCCTCTTTAAGAGACAAATTAAATAAGGCTGTTAACGGCTCATAGAGATAATCAGCACAATTTCTAAGAAAACAAGTGGGGATCTGGTCAGGACCATAACTAAAAGACTGCTTTAAGGACTTCAGGTAAACTAACACATCATCGGGAGATATTATAGGGTTATGTATTGAGTTAATTGGACTTAGTTTAAAAGGATAGTCAAAGTATGCTTGGGAGTTAGTGGAATAATTGGATTTAAAAAACTGAAATTGTTTGATTATCACCAGAGACGGTATTTTGATACTTCGTGGCGGAAGGAAACCCACGTACATTTCGCTTGGAGTTTACGAAATCATAAAATGATTTGGGGTTATATATTATACGTCGTTTGATTTTACACAATTAATCTTTATAACACTTTTTGTTTAATTCAAAGAACTTGTGACGCAAAAGTGAGTATCTTACATAGTATGAGTGTAAGCCGGTTTTTTTGTGTAATCTAAAATAACGTGACTTTCTGTTTTTCAAGTTTCTCAGTTCTTTAGTGAACCATAACTGTGTTTGTTCTACAGGAACACACATGCGTTTAGGCGCATACTTTTCTAATAATCTATGTACAGTAAAATTAAAATGTGCAACGCTTTGCTCAACTTTTTCTTTGTATATAGGCCACGACAATTTAGACAATTCTTTATTCAGTTTTTTAAAGTTGGCTTGCGAAAAATCAAAGCGAATATTTGGCTCGTATGTTTGGACATCGCAATTTTGACCATCGTTTATAATTTCGTAAGATATCTCAATAGCAGGGTGGTAGACATCTTCGGGCAAAACTAGTGGGTCACATTTATTTACAGCCGACTTAGATGCATCATCAACATAAACAAGATCTAATACTTTGCCAAACTTATTGCGAAGTACATTAACTTTATTCAGGCAGAGTTCAGTCATCTCCTCTAAAAATACGTTGTTGCACGCGCTAGACGAGATCAATACAATATCATTGTCAATGATGTTCCATGATACATTTGGTAAATTAAAGTCACCCAACACAATCAATGAATCAGAGGGTTTAATCATTGAATTAATTGATTTCAGTAAAGATACATGTTGTGAATACACTGATAAGTCAGATCGGGGAGGAATATAGCATAGAGCTAAGTAAGTAAACCCCCTTCCAACCTGAACACGAATGCATTTGAATTCTGCAGATTCGATGTGTGGAAGACTAACTTCTTCAGATGGTATTGAAGAGTCTACGGCAAAGAGTACGCCACCGCCGACTCTGTCCTCCCGATCTTTTCTGTAGATATGATAATTATTTGAAAGAATCTCTGAATTAAAAGTGTGAGGTTTGAGCCAAGTTTCAGTCAAACAAATTATATTATAATTGCATTCAAGGCCATTAAGATATAAATTCGTTAATTTAGTATTTATGCCTCTTACGTTTTGATAATAAATACTTAAAGCAGATTTAGTAATCAGTTTTTTGGTTCTGTATTCTGACGGGGAATATTTGCTAAATTATTATTTTTGTTGGGCCTATACTCAAATTCACGAACGAAAGCTCCGGAGGGCCAAAAAGAACTACTAAGCAGCATGTCAAAATTTTCTAAATTTACGTCTATTTTAAATGAAGAAATATTTCTTTCATATTTAAAATTAAATTTTCTGATACTTAAGTTGACAGTTTTAACTTTGGACGAGATGTAAAACTTTATATCGTCCTCGGAAGTATCCCTCGAAAATCTAGATACAAATATAGACTTCTTTGGGGGAACCACAACCAGTCTCCTAGTATCAGACTCGATTACCGGCGGACGGGGTTGAGTAACTGAGTTACTAGTTGAGGGTAGAGTAAGCGTTGGAAGATTGGATGGCGGTGCCACAACTTCAACGGGGGACGGGGAAGATACTGCAGGGTCGTTATTATTAGAAGCAGACTTTGATATATGTTCTTTTGAGGAAGATAACTCCGTTGTCTGTGGACATGGAGAAGAAAGGTTAATTAAGTCATTCGGAAGAGTGTTCTGACGTGGAACGGTCCTTTCATTAGGCGGACTATGAAGACGCTTACGTTTTGACACACGAATGTCCTTCATAGATTGTACGGTATCTAAGCATTTAAAAGATTTAAATACATTTTCGTAATGTTTAAATTTTTCGGTCAGTACCGACAACTCTCTCCCTACCTCAGAAAACCCATTTCTGGTTTGCCTAAACTACTTAAAGAGATCAACTTCGGTTGACCTGCACTTTAAGCAAGACCAGCGAAGACCTTTGCCATCATTAATAGCGTCCAGAATTCTTCCTGTCAAACCAGCACATTTTAGATGGCAAATCCCATCACAGAGCCAGCACGATAAGTAGCGTTCAGATTCGCTTTTGATTTGG